TGACCCACACCTGATCACATGAGTGACACCTTTCATACCCAGAAGACCCAACGAACTGACTCACAGACTTGTTGGCAATAATAAACCCTTATTGTTTTGAAGTGGTTTGTTGCTCAGCGATAACTACTGTGCAACATTCATCATCATCACCATCAACTGTGCCTCAGGATTCCAAGGCTTCTGTGAGGGAAGCATAGAAACTAATGCCTTTGAGCATCTACTATATGCCAAACACATGACTTTGTTATGTCATCTTGACCAACTGACAAAATTGAGACGGTTTTTCTAATTTACAGCTGAGGAAAATGAGACTTAGAAAAAAATTAAACAATGATCACAAAGCCACCCAGAAGAGCCAGAATTCCAGACAACAGGGCTCTGAGCACCCGTCACACCAAGACTCCAGCTGGGCCCCTGGGTTCAAGAGACTCACGTGCATGATATTCACACTGTTGTTGAAAATGTTCAAATAGGGCTTCAGTATGTTAAAGTGGAAGGCAGGTGTCAGCATCCGTCGATGACCGCTCCACTTGTCACCAGCACTCAGCACGAGCCCATCCCCTAGTAGAGGCAGCCACAGGGAGTGTGTAAGGGCAGCACCTTCCCCTGGCCCCTCAATGGTGTCCCCAACCCCCTTCATCCATAGTAACTCACCCAGCCAAGGCTTCAGAAACCTGTAGAAGACACTGTTCTTGGGCGCAACGGAGGCTAAGATGAATGAGGACCATCAGAGGCCATGGAGAGGGAGACAGTAAGAACTTTCGGTGGGCGAGGTGGCTCCCATCCAGGGGTCTGCATTCCCCCTCCAAGCCCAGCAGAGCAGGAATGGGACAATTGCAGAAGAAACAGAAAGAAGGGGGGAAGAGGGAAAGCAAGGGGATACCAAATATGGCTGCAGCAGAGTTAGAGAAACGGCAGAGACCAGAGACATATCCCCATATACGTAGACACACCCCAAGATGACACAACATGCCAGCATGCCTTGACATGGCTCCTACATGGTCCAACATGCGGTACACACCTAAGCAAAGCCCAGTGCTCTACAAAACACCTTTACAGAGACCTTGGACACCTTGTCTGCCCCAGCACTCTCTGACATCTGGGATATCTGACATGTCCCCAACATGTGTTAACATGTCCTGACATGACACAAATGCATGACACAACCTGACATGACACAACATAATCTGACATAGATGCAAAGACAATCTGATATGACCTCAGTGTGTCCCACAGATGGGACCAGACAAGACTTAAATGTAGTCCCATTAATGTCACAGATNGTTTATCTTCAGGTAAAGAAACAAGTCACTGGGGGCCAGGTCAGGTGAGTAGGGAGGGTGTTCCAATACAGTTATTTGTTTACTGGATAAAAACTCCCTCACAGACCGTGCCATGTGAGCTGGTGCATTGTTGTGATGCAAGACCCACAAATTTTTGATGAAAAGTTCAAGTTGTTGTTGTCTAGCTTTTTCAAGCAGCCTTTTCATCATTTCCAAATAGTAAATTTGATTAATTGATTTTCCAGTTGGTAGAAATTCATAATGAATAATCCCTCTGATATCAAAAAAGATTAGCAATATCGTTTTGACTCTTGATTTGGACTGAAGGAAATTTTTGAGTTGTGGAGAATTGGCTGACTTCCATGTGCACTTTGACACTTTGTTTATGGGTTGTATTGGTACATCTATGTTTCATCACCCGTGATAAAATGGCCCAAAACATCGTCTTGCCTCTCCAAAAGGTCTTGGCAAACTATGACTCTCCTTTGCTTTTGTTTATCAGTGAGTGCCTTCAGAACCATTTTTGTACACACCTTTCTCATGCCAAGATTTTCAGTTAAAACTTTCCTTACTGTTTCTCTATCAATGTTTTCTTGGTCTGCTATGCTTCTCAGAATCAACTGACAGTTTTGATGCACAGTTTGAGGAATTTTTGCAATGTTTTCATCAGTTCTGCTCATTACTGGCTGCCCTGGCCTCTCTTCATCAGTGACACATTCTCTCCCCTCAGAAAAACGTTTAATCCATTTTTCCACTGCCTTTCTTCATGGCATCATCCCCATAAACTTGAACTAACATGTTCCTGATTTCCACTCTTTCCAAGTTAGAATGAAATTTAATGTTTGTTTATTGCTCTAATTCAAGCTCAGATATTCTGCATAGCACACAAAAACACACAACAACAATAATGAATGCCACTCAGCAACACACTGCCACACATTAACATGAAGACAGCTGTGAAACACTGATACACGAAGGTCATGAAACCTTACCGAGCTGTTTGTACAGTGCTGCCAAAGTAAGGGCATTGTGGGAAGTTCGCGAACTTAATTGTCAGACCTCATAGAAACTCTAAACTTAGTGCTCCCCTCCTTATTTCAACATGCTGCATGAGCAGACAGCCATTCACGTCTACCTGTGTCACCTTATGGGATTTGGTGACTTGGATAAAGAATACAAACCAATAAGAAGCACATGCCATTTGCTGTAATAAACTGTCCTTTGTCTCTGACTCAGGAGTCTCATGTCTTCTGGCAGTCTCCATGAAACAGTGACAAGCTCACTGGTCAGCTTGCAGGCATGGAATAACCCCTGGCACCTGAAAAAATCTCACCTTGAATCCTTCA